TGTTTTATACATTGCCACCATTTTTTAGCATTGGGGTTTAGTTTTAACTCATCCATCTTTTTCTTAAGGAAGGTTGACTTGAGTCTCTTACTTTCTCTATTGGCAAGATTTCTCAATCTACGATATAGCGGACTTTTGCCCTGACGATTTGGTCAAGGATTTGATCAAGTCCTAGGACAGGATAAAGTTTGATCAAGTCCTAGGACTGGATGAAGTTTGATCGAGTCCTATAACTGGATGCTGTAGTTTTGATCAAGTCCTGAATGAAATTTGATCAAGTCCTAGGGCTAGATGAAGTTTGATCAAATCCTAGGACTGGATAAAGTTTGATCAAGTCCTAGGACAGGATAAAGTTTGATCGAGTCCTATAACTGGATGCTGTAGTTTTGATCAAGTCCTGAATGAAATTTGATCAAGTCCTAGGGCTAGATGAAGTTTGATCAAATCCTAGGACTGGATAAAGTTTGATCAAGTCCTAGGACAGGATAAAGTTTGATCGAGTCCTATAACTGGATGCTGTAGTTTTGATCAAGTCCTGAATGAAATTTGATCAAGTCCTAGGGCTAGATGAAGTTTGATCAAATCCTAGGACTGGATAAAGTTTGATCAAGTCCTAGGACAGGATAAAGTTTGATCGAGTCCTATAACTGGATGCTGTAGTTTTGATCAAGTCCTGAATGAAATTTGATCAAGTCCTAGGGCTAGATGAAGTTTGATCAAATCCTAGGACTGGATAAAGTTTGATCAAGTCCTAGGACAGGATAAAGTTTGATCGAGTCCTATAACTGGATGCTGTAGTTTTGATCAAGTCCTGAATGAAATTTGATCAAGTCCTAGGGCTAGATGAAGTTTGATCAAATCCTAGGACTGGATAAAGTTGGATCAAGTCCTAGGACAGGATAAAGTTTGATCGAGTCCTATAACTGGATGCTGTAGTTTTGATCAAGTCCTTAATGAAATTTGATCAAGTCCTAGGGCTAGATGAAGTTTGATCAAATCCTAGGACTGGATAAAGTTTGATCAAGTCCTAGGACAATCTCGTTCCCAGAGTATGCCTGTTCGCGGGTTAGGTAGTGGCATGCCACTACCTAACCTGCGAACAGGCATACTCTGGGAACGAGATTGGTCCTAGGACTGAATGAAGTTTTGATCAAGTCCTAGGACTGAATGAAGTTTGATCAAGTTCTAAGACTGAATGAAATTTGATCAAGTCCTAGGACAGGATGAAATTTTATCAAATCGTAGGACTGGATAACTTTGATCAAGTCATCAATTCTTCGGGCTGGACGAAGTCGTAGGACTAGACGTGAATTAATTCTTAAGACTTGAGC